ATGAAAGCTGGCTGGGTGTTAAGCCAATCACCAGGTGAGTTCTAGTCCTGCCTTAAGCACGAAAGCAGGCTGGGTGACTTTGGGCCAATCACCAGGAGACGGTGAGTTCTAGTCCTGCCTTAGGAGTGAAAACCAGCCATAGCTTAGAGGGATTAAAATGGCCAGCAAATTGGACTTCTATTCTGGGAACCAGTTCTCACCTCATTGGAGGTTCCTTTTCTCCTTTTCCTCTTCTGCAGAGTTTTCGCTTTGGCTCCGAAATAGCTTACGTCGGCGCGACCCTTCTGGATGTTTGCAAAAAAGTCCGGAACAAAATCCTGGTGGGGAACAACCAGGAAGGTGAGTGTTTTAAGTTCGTCTCTTTTGTCGTTCCAGGTAAGTCTCCAGGTAAGAGGGACTCACACGACGCTCTGTTTTCGACAGGTGATGTCAGCGGAGTCGGCGTGGAAGGCAAAGTGGCTCGCTTATCCCGGAACAACCAAACCGTCTTTGAGGATGCTGTGAACGTTACAGGTGGAGACTCACCTGCTAAGATACACCTGCTGGGGGTGAGTGTGAGAAGGCCCAGGAAAGAGTAGGGGTTGATTCCTCCCTCCCTCTTTTTCTCCCTCCCTTCTTCCCCTCTTCCTTCCTTCCTCCCTTCCATCTCTCTCCTTCCTCCCTTCCTTTTCACCTTTTCGTTCCTCCTCCTTCTTTACTTCCCCCTTTCTCTATTTCCTTCTTTCCTTCTTCTCTCCCTCCTTCCTTTCATTTCACTTTTTTCTTTCCTAATTCTTCCTCCCTTTTTCTTTCCTCCTTTTTCCTCCCTTCTTTCCTTCCTTCCTCCTTCCTTCCACTTCTTTTTTTCCTTCTTCCTTCCTTCTTTCATCCTTTCTCCTTCCTCTTTCTTTCTCCTCCCTCCCCTCCCTCCTCCCCTTTTCCTTCTTTCCTTCCTTCTTTCCTCCTTCCCTCCTTCCTTCCATTTCACAGTTTTTCCTTCCTCCTTCCCTCCCTCCCTCCCTCCCTCCCTCCCTCTTTCCTTCCATTTCACCTTTTTACCTTCCTCCTCCTTCCTCCTTCCTTTTTCCTTCCTCACTTTTTCCTTCTTTCCATCCTCCCTCCCTCTTTCCTTTCCTTTCACCCTTTTCCTTCATTCCTTCCTCTCCCCCTCCCTTTTCCCTTCTTTCCTTCCTTCTTCCTTCCTTCCTCCTTCTACTTTTTTCCTTCTTTCTTTCTTTCCTCCCTCCCTCTCTCCCTCCTTCCTTTCATTTCACT